TAGATGCCAACACAGCTTTTCAGGTCTTGAACTTCATAGGCTTCATGAACGTCGCCTTGAATTTGCTACCAAAGATTGTCAAAGATACTATCAAGGTAATAACAATGTTTCTCAACAAGATGTTGCATTTTATGAGTTAATATTTCGCTACCTCAGAACCGCAGAGTTCTAACATTTTGGGCCGTTTTGAGTCACTAAGAGTAAGACCTTGAGATCAGAAATCAAACGCTTAATCAAAATCATAAGATTATTCTGAGTTGTTATCAAGATCCAAAGAATGGCATTCGAAAACTCTTGGAATATTGTGAAACTCAAATTTTAGTACGTCAAATTTCTTGATTATTTGATTACTTGATCCTGGGAACAACATCCCAGCACTCCGGGCATAGCCGTACGTGCTCCGCTCCTCGCTCCAATATCCACCACAGAGTCCACCAGCTGATTTTTCCGGTGTTCATTTGGTTAATAACCCGTCTTTCCATCTTCTGAACCATGCTGGTTCTTGCCACTTCCTCTGAAGACACCCAGTTCTTCAAGTCTAAAGATTGGAGCATAGTCATGTTCAATCTCCCCATTTTCACGTGTGGTGGCAAGGGCCTTCACGACATCATTTTTGTCCATTCTATTGTCATTATTGGCAGGTACTCAACAGATAAAATTTCATACTTCTTAAGAAGCGATTTGCTTAGATATAGGATAGTTTATTTATCAGAATGCAATAAAGTAATTAATATGATAATATCATGGGCTATGGGGCATCTCAGACTTTCTGCCAGGACGATCTGTTCCTCTCAGCCAGTAGGCTCCTAAATTATCTCAATTAAAAACCCATTTTTCAGATTGACGTATATTGGTACACACTGCTTTTTAAGAAGTGTTGTTTTGGCTTGGTTTAATAAAGGTTTGATGACACTTGTAACAAGAACCTTAGATTACATACGTGCCGAAGATAAGATTTACAAGTGAGCAACAAACTTTTAAAAAAGAAGGAGGACAGCGAATAGGTCGCGAGAATAGAAATAGAAAAAGGCAAACAACACGAGAGCGCCCATCAACTCCCCGCGCTGTTGTTGACAACACAACTTCCATGAGAGATATAGAACAGTGCATCCTCTTTGTTTGTTTGTTTGTTTGTTGTTGTTTTCTTTTTGTTATTGCTTTTGTTACTTTGTTTTAGTTTTTTGGGGTGGAGAGTATCAACATAATTTAACCCTCCCCGTACGTCGTGTTTTACCAATCGTATCCATACGACGTGGGGAACTCTGTGCCACGACTTTCCAATGAGAAAATGTATTCGTTAATCTGGTCCGTACGCTTTGCATAGCAGTCTATCAAAATGTGTTTTTTTTTTTAAAGAAATAGGCCTACTGAAAGTTTCCAAGAGATCTTCGTACTAGAAGTATTCTAAAATGTGAAGAATAAGCCTACAACCCCGGGGGTACAAAATGACACCTGGGCGTACGAATCGAGTTAATCAAGCCCAATAGACGGAAGCCAATTCCATACGAGAAACAAGATATGCCATTTTAGGGCTTAAGACTTAAGATAAGATTAATACCCTCAAACCGTTGCGGGGTCGTGCGGTTTTTTGTTGTTGCTGTTGTTTTTTAAATTGCTTTTCTTAATTAACGCTTTTGGGATGCGCCTTTGGGCCATTGCACAAGTCTTGAGGACGAGCTGTTTTAGGGCACTTAAAGAAAGTTTACCGGTAAGAATTACTCATACTTATTTTTCAATTCTGTTCTCTCTCTCTCTCTCTCTCTTTCTCTCTCTCTTTCTCTCTCTCTCTCTCTCTCTCTCTCTCTCTCTCTCTCTCTCC